TGCTCTTAAGAGGCTTGGCAGCAGAGGTGGTTGGTAGGGGGGGGGGGGCGCCTACTACTACTACTTACTACTACTACTACTACTACTACTACTAGTCCTACTACTACTAGTCCTACTACTACTACTACTACTACTACTACTGCTAGTCCTACTAGTACTACTAGTACTTACTAGTACTACTAGTACTACTACTACTACTACGACGACGACGACGACGACTACTACTACTGCTGCACTGCCACTGCCACTGCCACTGCGGCTGCGGCTGCGGCTGAGACTACGAGGACGACTACTACTGCTACAAACATAATCCGGCCAGCGCGCCTGCTGGGCAAATGGTGCGGGCTGTGCTTGCTTCCGCACGGCCTGCACATTTCGAACATAAGCCTGCAAACGCAGGACATCGCCACAAGACCCCGTAGTACTTGCAGCATTGGACTCTGCGCCCCGATACTTGGAATGGCGCACAAATCGGGAACTCGCCCAAACAGCGAGATCGACGCACCAAGGCCATGAAGACCTCTTTTTTAGGCGACTCCGCAGGCACCTGGAGTGAGGTGTTCATCAAAGGTGTCGGTGGGGCCCCGGGCCGGGGCCCCTCCAGCGGCCTCTGGCGAACAGCGAGCGAAAAGCTCTCTGTTGGAAGCCCGTGATTACAGCGAAAAGCTCTCTTCCGCCTCGATCCAGATTGCAGCGACCTGTCCGTATTGCAGCAAAGAGTTGTTGGGATAGACGGACTTCAGGGCACCGGCTCGTCTGAGTGGGGTGTAGGTGCGACTCAAGCTCTATACTGCGCCAGTCGTCCACCCGACACAATCAAAGCGAAAGCGGATTTTTCGTAGACCATGACCGCTGGGCCGCACGGGCTAAACGATTCGAGTTGCTTCGGAGCTGACCCTGTATAGAAGCCAAATACTGATTTTGGTTAGGCACAGCTGTTGGAAGGCCTTGTAACCTGCAGACTGTTGCAGAGCAGAGAAGTGGATGCAGGAAAAACCAAGGTTCAATCCTTCCTTTCAAACACAGAGATTTCAACACTGCCTTCCCGGACCAGGCTTTGGGTGAAAGGACGACTTCACTTTGGCCGCCATCACACCCTGGCGCTGACTTGCCGCCGGCCGCTTGGGAAGGATTAAATTCGGGGCGGGTCTGTCAAAGAGCAAAGAGCGACCTATCAGCTTCAATGGTTGCGCGGAGCTGCATGCAGAACTGGTCCATGGAACTTCTTTGCTCAATCTTTGGCTGGAGATTGTGCGCTTCGATCCTTGTTCGAGCTGTTTTGGAATAAACAACGACTAGACGGTCGGATGCATGTGATCAAACAGAACTAGAACTCCGTCGCAACGCAACCGCAGGGACAAGCAGTAACGACAGCTCCCCGCCATTAACCTTTCCAGGGAAAAGCCTCCTTTTCCCTCTGAAGCATGGATACACTGAGAGAATGAGAGCGTGAGAGCGGGGCAGAGGGAAAGACAGCTGCAAGTTCCCAATCAGTGTCAAGCCCTCTTGTTGTCATCTCCCTGGCTTCTAACTACTGTTCTACATGCTCTAGGAAAGCTGAAGGTGGACCTGAAGACTTCAAGCGTCCCGAACCTCCGAGTGAAAGCCCTCCCGTCACAGCTCTAAGCTCCGGCCCCAAACCTCCGCAACAGACGGCAACATCGAAACGACTTTTGGTTACACCATTGCTGCAGCTTGTCTGCCAGATCTTCAAGATGAACCTTGAGACTTTGACGGGGATCCTTGATTCAGTGCGTCTTGTTCAGCCAGAGCATCCGCCTTCCTGGAGTATGACTTCTTGTAGGCATGCAGGTAGCACTTGGAGGCATTCAAGGATCGCAGCTGCCAACATGTCTTGGCTGCAAGATTGCCTGACTTGTCGGTGGTGAGACGAGGGCCGCAAGGCCGAGTTGCTTGCGGGAAGATCGTGCTTTAATGTGTTGTTTCTTTTTTTCTGTCTTGGTTACTGCGCAGCCCCAAAACACATGCACACTCACGGCGAACCCTCAAGAGGGATACTTTCAATCGCTCTTCCCCTGTGGCCTGAGACGTATGACCCTGTAATACAGAAAGGCTGATGAAGCCATCGATCCTACTCTCAAGCGGAACAGTCTCGGAATAACTGTAAATCGCAAGTGCCTTGTCAGATGCCATTGCTAGCTCTACTTGGTGTAACACTCGCCCACGCACGCCCCACCCAGCAAACTACGGGATGAAACGACGGGCCGTGATTGCCTCGCAAGCCTGCTTTGGACAACCGCCTGCCGCTGCCTCATTGCTTTTCCTGCATTCCTCTAAGCCAACCGAAGGCAGACCCGTTCTGGAGACAAGCAAACGGCCCCGGGCCGCCAAAGACACGTGTTTCAAAGGTATGTCTCGGGGATAAGGCGGTTGCAGTGCTTCCTTGATGCTAGAATCGCTAGCCGCTAGGCTAAGAGACGCGCTGATCTCCACTTGAGACATACCTGTACTCCTCTTCTGCACAACGGCAGGAGGCAGCAAACCTCCGAGGCTCGCCGACCTGAAATACCGCTCCCTGCACTGCACGTAGTAAACCTAAGCCACCTACGAATCCCCAACGCCCAAGCCTGACTGCCCGGCGAAAACATGATGTAGAAGGCTTTAGTCCCGGTGGGGGGTGTCCCAAAGCGTGAAGGCGCAAAACGAAGCTGAGTCAATTCGGGGTCGCAAAGAAATGCCCGGCAGCGGTGTGGTGGGGGGGGGGGGGGGTTAAGCCCGCCGAATCATCAACTGCTCCTTGAGCTCTTCCCGACTTGGGCCATCTTCTCTACTGACCCTACTGATCGCCTAGCAGCCTAGCATGATGCAAGACCTTTGGAGCCTCAGGTTTTTGTGAGACACACTGCTACGACTACGAACGTGCAGGCGAATCATTGCGACCTGCGTCTCCCTGCTGCTTGCAAGCACTGAAAGCCGATGGCTTCCTAACATACTATGTTCCAACGTAGGGACGGTGTCCTGTATGCGCCGATCCAAACCCCAAAGGACCTTGCAGCCTCTCTCCAGGGATTTACCAAGCTAGCACACTAAAGCCATGAGGAAGAAGTGCAGATCTGGGACCTGCTCATCTACTCCTGGCGTGGCCATGTGCGGATGTGCATCCAACCTGGGACCGTGCAAAACGAACAAAAGCAGACACAAAGCCACCCAAACGTTTGCGCGGCTGCTCTTCAGTGTTGGTGGTCTGGGCAGGCCGCGAGGGCATAGACAGCAACACTGTACGCACATTCCCTTCCCGCCTTTGCCAGCTTCATTTTCTTTCCGGCAGGCTCAGGACCTGTCAGGGGGAGCCATTTCATGCAATCATGCAACCCCACCTTGTCTCGATCATACTCGAAAGACCGAAGCTCAAGTCACACTGAGACCGGGGCATTTTTCTGAATTATCTGCATAGCTTCCGCAAACCTCATGACCCGTGCAGCTTTGACAGGCTGAAGCACGCAATGTGGGCCAACGGCAACGGCTTTCGGAGGGGAGTCCAACTCTTGCCACGCCTCCTTAACATGGGCCTGTAGCAGAAAGGGCAACATGCTATCTGCATGTGTCGTCTTCACCATCCTCACAGCTGGTCTATGCGGAGAGGCATTGGATTCTATTTCGGAGCGACAACAGTGACTATGTGACATCGTTCAGGCAAGATGACAGCTGGCCGTGGGCAACATGACTCTCCGGTTGACTATCTAATCATGGGTCTTCCTCCTCCAAAGACTTGCTTTCGGTCCCTCTTGGCCTGAAATTATCTCGAGGTTTCTCCGGGACCTTCCAACAACGCCTCAAGAAGACTAACACCCTCCCAGATGTTTCGAGTATTGTACCTGGCAGCGTCAGGTCGTGCTAGCAGCGACACTTCCCCTCAACGACATCTGCACTGCAACGCTGAATGTCCAGCATGACTAGCTTAACAAAGTCGAAGAGCCTTCCCAGGCTAACCCATGTAGCCAAGCTCAGGAGCATTCCTGCCGAAACCCGAAGCCACAACCTGGGCAGCCCGAATGCCTGCTTGCAAGCCTTGCCAGAACTGGATCTTGTCCAGTGCCCCGAACCACATCACACAATCACCCGAGGAAGGGACTCCTCCGGCATATCCCTCTCACCCTGGGCGGGGTCTTGAGAATACAACGGGGCTTGCCTAGGTTTCTGCATTCATACGCATCGCGTTTGTACTCCCGACCGGGCTACTGTAGTCGTTTGTTTGGTGCAAGATTCGGGCGAACATTTTGAGCCACTTGAGCCGCACTTTTGATGGAGAAAGCACGGAATCCCAGACATGCGTGCAGGTTCTTCGATGCTAAGGATAAACATGCCAAAGTAGTGTGTCTCGCAGTTTACCTCTACTGCGTCAGCCATGGCAAGCTGCAGATAAACAAACAGCTGTGTATGATCCACCTGTCGCTTTACAGTTGACACGAACACCCTACAGGAACAGCGACCTATGAACTTCGCCTTTAAAATTCAACTTCCTGCCGCTGCAAACCGGCAGCTCCTAACAGGATCTAGTCTGGCCGGCAGAGGGACAGGCTACACTGGTACCCTACTGGGCCGTATCAGAGTAGAATTCGAACGGCTTAGTATCAAGCATGCCATGGCAACTTGAAGGCACGCTTCTCCAAATCGTGAACAACATTCGGGCCTTAGCAGGATTCTGTCGGTCTGAGCCGCACACGATCTTCAAAGCAACCCAGTCCTGAGTAGCTTCTTGGGAAAGGCGTCGGCCTCTGTTGTGTCTGCTCAGGGTTCAGAGTCTGCGGTAGAGATTGCCCGAAGGAACGGACGGCAAGGTGGGAGAAGCAACCCATTAACCCTTCCGACACCGCCCCATCATCCCAAACTGCACCGAAGCTCAGAAGTGAACAGGACAGCTCTTGTCGCAGAAGAGACTCGGTCTGCACCCCCAGGCTGGCTGCGTGGGAGTTCGCGCGGACTCGCTTCACAGTCACTGGGACCTCGGCTCCACAACGTTCTGGTGGAAACGCCCCTGACATCAGCCCTCGAAAGCCGAGTGCCCAAACAGCCTTGGTGAAGTCGATGCCCCACGGCCGCATGGTGAAATTTATCTCCTTTTGCTATCAGCCCTTTGTGCAGCTGAGAAGGTGCAGTGTGTATGAAGCATGCTACATCGCTACAGGCATGCAACGGTGACACATGCAGACTGCCGGATTACTGGAGGGTTGTCCTTGTTGGAGCCATCGGGCTTCTGAAATACTATGGTCACCACAGTTCCTTGGCTGCAGCAGAATTATACACAGGGTTCACGACGGCTCTCCATCTGGGCATGGTAGGCCTTAACACAGACACCTCCAACTCCTGGGAGGCACAGAGCAACTGGTCGAGCCTGATGCCAAAGGAAAAACGGTGTCCCAGCAAAGAGCGAGTCGCGCTTGGAATCGAGGGTCTCGTCCGGGTCCACCTCCGGTGCTCTTAGCCATGCAGCGAAGTCGCACCAAGCACCGCCACTTGGTGGATCCGGTTCAAAAGCCCACTTGTATGTGTTCAATGAGCATTTCCACACTCTGGCCGTGTTTGCATGCCACTTGCTTCACTGGCTCTGCAGAGTGCCCTCGAAGCACTGTTTCAGCAACCTCAAGGAAAGATCCATCCACGCTTTAGGACCGGCGAAGCTGCATTATCTACACTGGCTGGAAAGCTTGACCGGTAGTTCTGAAGTTTCTAGCACGCCCGACAACTGAATCTTCCCTGCCAGTGCTTCGCAACAAATTTCTGAAGCACCCCACGCCTCATACCCCCTGGCGACCACTGCTGTGACGTTTTCCTCGGCGCCCTGGCATATGACAGTA